GGCTTCAATCAAGAAAACAACATTCAATTCATTCCTCAACGTGATCATCTCCTAGGTACGAATTTTTGATCAATTCATGAAAGTAGAAAATTTCTCGACTGGCGATTAGGTATATCAGGTTAAAAAAATAGACCTTTCCCATTTTTGTGGTGAATCCATGTGACTTGACGCCAAAGACTGTTCTATTTGATTCAAGTAAATGTACCTCAAGAAGAAATAATTGATATTCACCATAAGAACTTATTTATTTGAAATTAGTTCAAGTATACAATACTTATTCCAAGAAAGAAACATCTCAATAAAAATAATTTTTTCTAGTGTGCACAAAGACAGCTTTTACGCCCCTCTGACTCCACTATGACAGCGAAATCTAGTGGCCCCAAAAACCCTTCAAATTCTTAATCTTCTTATTTCTCTGAAAAAATAATCTCGAAAAAAATCTCCAACTAAAACCTCCTAAGACCCCGAAAAATTATAATAATAGCGCCAAGTTTCTTTCCTCAAAATTGTTCCGTTCAGGGGAAATTCCGAGGCAAAGAAGGACGAAAAAGAAAATAATATTAGGGTTCTCGTCCGCATCGAATTACAATAGTTTGGGGACCTATACTAGTCAAACTGTAACGTTTCCCTGAGCTAAAACTACCGATAGGATGTTCTCCAAGGTGGTCGCGGACAGGTAAAAGGCCCCGGGGAGATCACGATGTAACCCCGAAAGCATTGACCAGCTGTGGATGCCAACGAGAAAGGTAGACAGCGGCTGTGCGGCGAGGGGCAGGGGGGAGGCAGAAAGGCGGAGAACGAATGCAGAAAGAAGAAGAAGAAGAAGAGGAGAAGACCCCAGAGAGTGCTCTCGACTCTTTGTTCCCGCCGCAGTGTTGCCTCTCGGCTTTCAATCGTGCATTTTACCTGGGTTTCAATCCCAACGTCAAGGAGCAAGCAGGTGTTCATCGATAATAACTCTGTTCTCGTTTTTTCAGCAGTTTTATCTCTCTCATTCTCATCTTGAATTCCTCAAATCCGAAAATTCAACGGTGTAACCCTCGAACGTTTAAGCCAATCTGTGGACATTGCATGTCCCTAACTTGACGAAAATCAGCTACCTGACTTTGGACTGTTGGTTCTGTCTGCCGTGGGGATTGGGGAATTTGCATTTTTTAGTTTTGAATGGCTTCAGGATTTTTTTGGGTGGGAGGTGATTGAGGAGAGCGCGGCACTGCTGGTGGTTGTGGAAGTTCTGGAGGAAAAAATAATCTCGGTGAATGGGAAATACTTGAGTTGATTATTTCTCTGGAAAATCGAGAGGAAAAGATTATGTAATTTGGATTTCATTTCCCTCGGCCGGAAAATACCGATTAGGCTCCACCCTTGAGCGGAAAGTGTTCACTTTCCTTCCACTCATTTCACAAATAACATGTTCACAAATAACATGCACCTCGAGCGGGTAAAACATGACTTTTCATCACTTGTGCGTAAAGTGGAATTTTAGTTGCTGCGCATTGTGATGGAAAATAGGGTTCGACACTCGTGGGCAATCGCCTTCGGCCAGCGCTGTACATCTCTCGCGAGTCACAAAACAATTTTTTGATACCTCCCTCAAAAGTGCATTTTCCGAAACGGTGTAGCGTGCGTAAAGCTGTTGTTTCCTGCATGGGGTGCGCAAAGTGAATTTCACTTGTTTAATTTATTTATATTGAGAATAATCTCGGTTCCCGTCCTACCTCATCCAAATCCCATACAATCATTTTCTATGCCGTCACAAAGATGTGGACATTGCATGTCCCTAACTTGACGAAAATCAGCTACCTGACTTTGGACTGTTGGTTCTGTCTGCCGTGGGGATTGGGGAATTTGCATTTTTTAGTTTTGAATGGCTTCAGGATTTTTTTGGGTGGGAGGTGATTGAGGAGAGCGCGGCACTGCTGGTGGTTGTGGAAGTTCTGGAGGAAAAAATAATCTCGGTGAATGGGAAATACTTGAGTTGATTATTTCTCTGGAAAATCGAGAGGAAAAGATTATGTAATTTGGATTTCATTTCCCTCGGCCGGAAAATACCGATTAGGCTCCACCCTTGAGCGGAAAGTGTTCACTTTCCTTCCACTCATTTCACAAATAACATGTTCACAAATAACATGCACCTCGAGCGGGTAAAACATGACTTTTCATCACTTGTGCGTAAAGTGGAATTTTAGTTGCTGCGCATTGTGATGGAAAATAGGGTTCGACACTCGTGGGCAATCGCCTTCGGCCAGCGCTGTACATCTCTCGCGAGTCACAAAACAATTTTTTGATACCTCCCTCAAAAGTGCATTTTCCGAAACGGTGTAGCGTGCGTAAAGCTGTTGTTTCCTGCATGGGGTGCGCAAAGTGAATTTCACTTGTTTAATTTATTTATATTGAGAATAATCTCGGTTCCCGTCCTACCTCATCCAAATCCCATACAATCATTTTCTATGCCGTCACAAAGATGTGGACATTGCATGTCCCTAACTTGACGAAAATCAGCTACCTGACTTTGGACTGTTGGTTCTGTCTGCCGTGGGGATTGGGGAATTTGCATTTTTTAGTTTTGAATGGCTTCAGGATTTTTTTGGGTGGGAGGTGATTGAGGAGAGCGCGGCACTGCTGGTGGTTGTGGAAGTTCTGGAGGAAAAAATAATCTCGGTGAATGGGAAATACTTGAGTTGATTATTTCTCTGGAAAATCGAGAGGAAAAGATTATGTAATTTGGATTTCATTTCCCTCGGCCGGAAAAAACCGATTAGGCTCCACCCTTGAGCGGAAAGTGTTCACTTTCCTTCCACTCATTTCACAAATAACATGTTCACAAATAACATGCACCTCGAGCGGGTAAAACATGACTTTTCATCACTTGTGCGTAAAGTGGAATTTTATTTGCCGCGCATTGTGATGGAAAATAGGGTTCGACACTCGTGGGCAATCGCCTTCGGCCAGCGCTGTACATCTCTCGCCAGTCACAAAACAATTTTTTGATACCTCCCTCAAAAGTGCATTTTCCTCCCGCTTCGCGGGAGGAAAATCTGTCCTTTCCACCCGCCGTGGCGAAAAATACACTTTCCTTTGCAAGCGTGTTAGAAAATGGCATGTGCTCTTGGTGCCCAATATGCATACTACTCCCCATAAAATTGTGAGTTTGAGGAATTTTATAAAAGATGACTTAATGAACTGAATATTTCGCATCCTTAAATTCTCCGACAACGAGCGCATAAGACTTACCGTGCAAATGTATAAAAACCGAACGATAAGTGAGACTTCAAACTCACTGTCGCGTGAACACGTCATAAGTAGAATAAGTGTCATAAACCACTGATAATTCTAGCCTTGCGTTTGGTGTTTTTGCTGCGCAGGTTTTTCCACTTCGTGTCACTTATACTCACACCTCAATCACGCGTCACACTTGCGCCAATATTGAAATTGAATCGCAAATCTGAGATTTATTCATCCGTCAAAGGATCGCAGAGGAGTCGCATTCTCTTCACTAATACACATTTGTTATTCTATTATTATTATTGTTCTCTCGATCGCAATCGTCCAGTTTGGAATTCGTCTGGAGTTAATGAGGAGAAACCGGCCATTCAGGAAAATTTTGGGAGATTAGATAAACACAAAACTCAAAAGCGATGGGGTCTTCGATATGATAATTTCAGGGAAAGATTCTTTACTGGTTATGCAGAAAAATATCTCTTGGTGTAGAATGAATAAAACAAATGGCCTTGAGCCGCGGACGTCATCGCAGGCATTATATGCTCGTCCAAAATTCACGCAAAAGTGATAAGGATCACTCGCTATTTTATTGTCTCATTGCTTTCGAATGGAAGCATTTTATTCGTGAAATCCGAAATTTCTCATTTTTTTGAAGTTTAAAAATTTTAACATTGAGGCAATGTTGAATCAATTAATTATTTAATTCAAATCAATATACATCATCATAAAAATTTCATTCAGAACCAAATTGCTAATTTATTAGCAACAATATAGTACCAATATTGTGACGAAAGCGATTTCCCACTCGTTTATCATTCATTTCACTAGAACTGTTCGAGTCCCTTCAACTCTTCTCATATTATGGGAATGTCCCAGTAGTGATTTTCGTAAGGAGAAATGAAGCTCTCAATTATTATATCCAGACAATTCCTGAAATTAACCCTCGATCACTCGCTCAATGAGCGCGGCGCCGCCCGATTTCCTTTAAAAAAAAAATATTTTAGCGTGTTTCCCGACGCTTGAAAATTCTGAAAAAAATTAGAGTTCCTAGGCCAATCCTTTCATTAAGCGTTAGCGTTGTCCGTTTTTTTCTCGGGAAATTTGTTTAGCTAAAAAAAGAAACGTCGAATGGACATAACAGCGGCGCCGCGCCGGCCGGTGCGTGTGAGTTCCTGCCGACCGCTCGTGCGACAGTGTTGCTACATTCACTGCCACATTTGAAATGCGCGCATAGCGGTGAGCGTCAAGATGGCAACAGCGCGCTCGGTTTCACCCAGCGGCGCTGCGCTAACCGTGCGACGGATGAAGGCTGGCGACCGAGCGCGATTTATCGAGCGTTAAAAACCATTTACCCCTAAATTGGCCACCCTATAAGGGAAAACTCGTCGCGCGGCGTTTTTCTTCAATTACAATTGACTGCCTAACCGTAAAAATTGAAAAAAAATTGACTTTGTCAATTGAAATCTCTACAAAATTATAGTGATTTTTAAAACAAGATATTTCCCAAAATTCCTAAAGAAAACAAATTACTTCGAGCAGGTGAATTATTTTCTCCCATGTTAAATGAAATTGCCCATGGTGCGACGTTGCCGGAACCTCGCTAAACGCGCCCTGGCCTTGTAGAGTGAATTCGGCAACGCTAAATCCTAAATAACACGGCGGCGAATCCCCGCGGAGGTGACCAAGCCGCAGAGACGCGTTTGGTGACCGGACTAGGATTAAAATTCCAAGTTAAAAATGACTGGCATGAAACTAAGAAACCTCTCTCGACTTTTTAGCCAAAACCATGATGAAGCGACGCGGTGGGCAAGCCTGGCTGCTGCCGTTGTCACTGGTGTTGTTAGCGGGGCTTATTAACGCTTCAGCGACAACGAGTCCCACGACAACGGAAGTGGAAAGGACCACCCCAACGGCCGTAAAAACCACAGTGAAACCCGAGATCACGGTGTCTCCACAACCGGTGACCAGTCAACCGGAAGTCGCTGTCAAAGCAGCGTCAACGGACAAGCTGTCGTTCGACGCAGCCAATCATGAGGATAAATTGTCAGTTCTCACCAAACCTGTGATCAACCCTAAGGAGATGTTGCTCCAGGAGATCAACACGTTGAATGACGAGGCGGAGAGCGATAAGAAGCTCCAGAACGAGCTGGCCAAGGCGCTGAATGTCGCCGCCCAGAAAGTCCGGGCAGAGCCTCGTCCTAGCACAACGCCAACTCCTCCAACTCCAAAGCCAACGACAATGGCCGAGGGTAAAGCAATGCAGGAACTCGTCGAGGCTGAGACTGATGTTGCTTACGACGATGATGAGGATGATTTGGATGATGATGATGACGATGATGATGAGTACGATGACGACGACGATGATATCGAGGATGAGGAGGAGATTATGACGCAGTGCCCTGATTACTGTAGGTGTGCTGGACAGTACGCCGCTGCTACCACTGCCAGGTAATTGTATGCGAATAAATTTGCATGATTGAGCTACTGCGTTATGCGGTTCTTCTATTTTATAATGAGGAGGAAAGATTAGCAGAATGAGATCATCGAGAAACGATGCAGGGGGAAGTGGTGGAGTGGGTTGAGAGAGGGGTATCAGTGAGCAATAATTTAATTTTGATAATGAGTTATTTGAGAAAAAAAGGTTCTTGACTTTCGGACTTTCAAAACCTTCGCGAATCCGATAGAAACGTTTGATGATAAATGTTTATAAAAAAATTAATAGAATTCAATTATTCTGTTCTGATTTTGTCTTGGCTCAATTTTTAAAATTTTTTTTTTTTTTGAAAAAATTAAAAAAATGAAGTGAAAAAAAAATTAAAAATTCATGTCGAGGAATTGCTATAGAAAATGTTTTGATAGAAAAGATTCTATAGGAAGATGAAATTCTATTGATTTTTACTGTGAGATAGTTTCTATTGAAAATTTTCAATTGAAAAAAAAACGTAGTAAATCTGCAAAATTCTTCAGTATAATTTCCAAATATTGATGGAATTTTCAATAGAAATCCAATGGAATTTTCTCATTATCTGCTAATTTTTCTGTTGATAGAAGTATTCAATGAGAAATATTCTACAGAAAAAAATCAATATAATTCAATTTTTCTATTCATATTTTGTCTGCAAATAAATAAAATTAAATAAATTTATAAAAACAGAAAATCAATAATAAAATTATAAAACAATGCAATTTCAAAGAAAAAAATCCTCATTTTCTGAAGGCTCTAAGACATTCGAATGCACTTGTCTCCAAATCCATCTTCCACTAAAGAAACGAAAAAAATAAAAACCCGATTGTTTTCCAGATGCAGCAAACTGGTGGACAAGCAGGTATTCGGCCCTGGTATCGCCCACTTGCGAATAGAAAATGCAGGCGAGATCCAGCTAGGCCCCCACGCACTGCGCGCGCGAGGTCTCCAGCAGCTTGAGTCCATAACAATCGTGGACACTCGCATCTCCCTAATGGACAGAACAGCCTTCGACGGAATTCCGTACCTCTTCGCTGTCAACCTGAGTCGCAATGGCATCATCGACATCCACCCCGACACATTCCAAAACAACACTCAACTCTCGCTGCTCACCATTTCGGGTCACCCCTTCTGGAGGAACTGGACAGTGACCAAGGACTACTTCCTGGACGCCCAGAGTGTCACAGAGCTCGACTTCTCCTGGAACTCAATGCCAGATCTGCCCCCCTCAGCCTTCCAGAAAATGCCAAACTTGGTCTACCTGAATCTCAAGCAGAATCGTTTGGGCAAGGTCGAGAAGGAAATCTTCGACCCCATGGACTCCCTCCTGGAGCTGGACCTGTCCGGGAACATGCTGGACGATCTGCCGAGAGACATCTTCAAGGACAAGGGCCTGCAGACCCTGAGGATCTCAGACAACGCGTTCACATCATTGGCAAAAATTAATGCTTCAAAATTAACGTCTCTGCATGCTTCTAGCAATAAGATCCAGGCGATCGGCAAGGACGACCTTGCTGGGGTTCCATCGCTCGATAAACTGGTGGTGTCCTTCAACTCCATGAAGAGAATTCATCCCCACGCATTTGCTCACCTGGATCAGCTCAATTATCTGGACATAAGCGACAACAAATTGACTTCGATTAATGAACACCATTTGAAGAACAATCACAGACTGCAGATTCTGCTGATGAGTGATAACCCAGGGCTCAGGGCACTCCCTGTCTTCAAGATGAATGGCTTGGAGTACGACACGTACAGCGTTTACAGGCTTGAGGCTGCCAACTGTGGACTGGAGTACCTGAAACCTGGGACTTTTGATACAATGCCAGCTTTGACGAGCCTCAATCTGGCTAGGAATAAGCTCACTGGGCTGCCCAAGGGGCTCCTGGAGGGTCTCAGCTCGCTGAGGGAGCTCGATCTGTCGCTGAATCTTATCAGTGTTGTTCCAGCTGGCATGCTGCGTGGGGCTACCACCTTGGGGAAGCTCAATCTGGCCGGGAATCCTCTGGTGACTCTACAGGTCACGCCGTTCTTGCAGGCCCCGGGACTTTCTAGGCTGGATGTCAGCAAGTGCCAGCTGAGGAGGATCTGGAGCGAGGCCAGACAACCACTCAAGTCTATCAGGTTGGGTTGACATTATCTTCTCTTAAGGGGTGACGGAACCCCTTTGTCCTACAATTATTAATTTCTATCTATGAAATTACTTTATCGACTCGATTAACGCATTGTTGAGTCAATGAAGTAGTTTAATGAATAAAAAATAATAATTGCCGGAGAAAACACAATTCTAAAGAGTCATCTTCTAGATGATCCCAGACTGTTCTCTTCAGGAAAACATATTTTTTCGACAGAATTAATTTATGGTGCGGTCAATACCACTCGAATCCGAACATTTCTAGTGAATGGAAAATTATGAAACCGATATCTAATTGAAGCTACAGTATTCCGGTTTCCAATTTTGTCTGTCTCGCCTAGTTATTCTTCTTAGATTTGGAAATAATTCATTTCGAAAATAAACTTCATTTGCCCAACTGATTCGGTTGCGTTTCAGATTCCTGTCAGTTCGTGGTAATCAACTGGAGAGAATAACGGTAGAGGAGTTGAAGGCAATGCCAAAGTTATCTGGCCTTGATGCCTCCATGAATCCAATGGTCTGTGACAATGAGTTCAATGATGCCATTCAATGGCTGATCAGCCACGGTGTGACGCCAATGGAGACTCTCAAGTACATCAGCAACATCAAGAATGACGAGGAGTACGCTGAGACTGAGGGCGTCACTGAATGGAGCGATCTAGCTAAGACTGTCTGCAGCGATGAGTTCGATGGGCCACCCTCGAGGTTGCCGAAGAAACCAGCTGTACTTGTGCCAATTGATAATCGACTTCCTGATTACACTGACGACGAGGAGAATTCTGAACTCTCCAAGGAGGACTTGGAAGCTGATATTGCTAAACTTAATGCTGTAAGTTGTGAAGAATGCGTCGATAATTTTTTTTTCCTCCAAAAGAATTTTTTTTACTAGAGGAGGGTGGGACTAAATGAAACAGACGAAAAATGACTGAGGCTATTCAAGCATAAAAAAAAATTTTTTTGGGAATTTTTTTTTCATTATGAGGGAGTACTGATGAGAATAATAATTTTCTTATATTGAGACTGCAATATTAATAATTTTCACTAATTTTATGCTCATTTCCACTAATTAATTTCACTAATTAGCACTAATTTTATAATAATAAAATTTTCCATCGAATTCAATACATTTATACAATTGTTCGTATAATTTCGATAGAATTCTGATTGAAAATTAATGAAAGTTCTCGGAAAAGGCACTTGTTTTTTTTATTAATTTTTTGTTTGTGAATGGAAGAATGAAGGATTTCGCCATTCTCCAATTTTACTCGAAAAGGACTTATAATGCCATGAAACGTCGAGATATGATGTTTTTAGAAAATGGCTGTGTGTAAAATTCTGAGAAACCGATGAGAATCACATCCCAATTCATCAGCTATTAAATTTTCTAATTCCTATGCTCACCGAATAAGATTTTAATAATAATTACAATTCAATTCCTTCTAAACACACTTTAGAGTGTGAATTTCTGGAATTTAATGTTTGTTGATACTCTGGTAAAAGTGCGTGCCCACACTATTATCAATTTTTAGTTAGTCACACTGTAATTCAATTAATCTGTTGTTCATCTCATCAACATAATTTCGTGCTTAGAATATTGTCATCTCGTGTTTTCAGCCCCAAATTAAAAATTAAAACTTCATTTGGAATATTGAGTCACAGCTTCTTTTCATTCATATCAGAAATTTTGTATTCGGATATTAGTATTATTTGTTCAAAGTGAAAAAATCGATCATCATTTTCACTATATTGCATTCAGGTTCTCCTATCCTTAACGTAAAAAATGTGAGATAATCTCATAATTCTAGCTATTAATTCTAATCGACTTTGTTCGAAGAAACCCTTAGTAAACGCAGTATTAAGAAAGTAGAATTATTCTATTTTCCTCTGACCTAAATGATTTGAACAATTATGATTCGATTATTCATGTTTCATAGAATGGTATTCACTTCACAATTCGACGCAAGGCAATTGTTCTAATTTTTTATTTAAACAGCACTAAAGTGATATTTAAAAATCTGAAATTTATCCCATAATTGGTGTTGTTTAGGTGCACGCAGCCAAAATTCTATCGCATTAATTTCCCCTACTAAATTATTTCAGCTCGATCATGGACAGAAAGTTGATGAGCGCATTGATGAAGCCTACAACGATCTCGACAAGGCCGAGAAGTACTACGGTGAATGGTACGAATCAGGAGAGAGCCATGCCTGGTACGACGGTGTCTTCTGGCCAGTGTTGATCTTCGGCTTCGTCACCCTGGCAATTCTCCTCATAGTCATCCAATTCGCACGATTCCTCGCAAAGGGGCGTGGCCGTGGTCCAGTGATCAGACCACCTCTCCTTCTTCGCCAGGGTCTCGTCGACAATAAGAACTGCGGCCTCGTGTACAAACCCCTTCAGGAGGAAATTCCAACTCCCCACATGCCAAAACGCGGCAGCTTCTATTCCAGCAGTACCTTCCATTACGATAAAATCGTACCAGAGAGCGTTTAACAACTTCAACTGAGATAATTAATCGAGAAATTCGAATTTTACTTAATTTTACATTTTATTATCAGAGAATTTAATTTTAGTTCCTAATTCATTACGAGAAAGTTAATATTATTTTTAACTGTTTTGTTTAGCCGATGGAACAAAACGGGATAAAGAGTGAATTATTGAACTGGATGAGTCATTTGTTGTGACGAAGGGGTAATTTTTGTCGAATGGTATAGGAATGAGTGAGATTGTTTTGAGAATATCTTTTGAGTTGAGGGATTACGTGGATTACAGAGAATACCTTTTAGTTTGTTTCGAAACCCAGTTATTTTCTTAATATTCACGAAATCATCTGGAAGACACTTTCGACTGTATCTTATCCATCATTTTTTTTTACAAAAATGGGAGAAAAGAAAAATTTAAGAAAATTGTTTTTTCTTTGGCAGGAAGTGAAATTTTGTTACATGTGTTTTTACTTATCGAGACTTCAGTTTGGGAAAACAACAAATGAGTTATCACAACAGAGAGAACTGTATGTAAACGTGCCTTACTTAAAAACAATAATATTATTATATGGTACAGTAATTTTGTACTAAACAAGTATTCGATGGTCATTCGATCAGCGTTAAAGCGTTTACTTTTAATAAAAGCATAGAAAATATTCTGAAATACTTAAGCTTAATCCGTCGTATCAGATTTACGTTATCTGCTTCACATTATCCGCTGTAAATAATTATGAGTAATAATAACTTTAATGAAAATTATATATTTTAAGATATGATATGTGATGGTTTTGTTATTTATTCTCCATTCGTCCATTCAGAATTTACATTCACCTCATGAGAGAGAAAGAGAGAGATGTTGTCTTCGTCTCAAACAAGTTCGTCAACAAATTCTTGGACAATTGTAAGACATTCTCGACTCCTTTACCAATTTCATTCAAAAATCCCCTGAACAGAATAAAATTCCATCGACGAAACCCAAGGAAGATGAAATCAATTGCTTGGATTTAAGTCTCCAGATTATCCTGATCACAGGAGGAATTGGGGAAATTTTATTATGAAAGTGCGACAATTTAATGACAGCTCAAAGGTCGTTACGAAAATTCGTTTGAAATTTATTAGTTCGCAATAAAAAAACGAGGACTTTTAAAATAATTTTTTTACTTGTTGAATGAATTATAAATTTATATTTCAAGTGTTCCTCAGTTTTCCAGATTTATACAGTATTTACAATAATTTAAAAAAACAATAAATATATAACTTTTTCATCCGTCGTCTCGCTCCTTTTGTATTTTAAAATTTTATTCAACTACTGTCCATTGAATAATACAGCAATTCTTGAGCTAAAAAGCGTGAGGTGAGGGATCAGTTGTGAGAAAGCGCTTTCATTGCCATTAAATTCTAGCCTCAACTTTCAATAAAAAATCCTCAATTACTCCTCCCATGAACAGAATAAAATTCCAGAGACGAAACCCAAGGAAGATTGATTCGCAAACGTTTGCGAGCATGGAATCAATTTGCTTGGATTGAAGTCTCCAGAATTATCCTGATCACTGGAATAATTAGGGAAATTTTATGGTAAAAGTGTTATAATTTAATGACAAGTCTTTCTTCCAATTGATCGTTCATCTCTAGCCAAGAATTACTGTAATTAAATAATTAATATGGTGTCAATAATTAATATTGTGTGTCGCAATCATGGAGACCACCATCGATGACGTGATTCAACAGTGTCATAGCTAATCGCCGTCCTTGCTCCCCGAAGAGGAGGTACGAGTAGGGAGTCCCCGAGACCCTCCTGGGTTCCCTGATAATGATAAACAAGTGGGAAATTGCGTGTAGTATAGTTATTTTTGCTAATAAATTAGCAATATGCCCCAAAATGGTCATTTTGCTAATTTTTTTCGATTGGGGATTATTCATAGCCTATTTCTTTCCAACTAATTCTCATTCAACAATTCCAACAATTTCTTTACAACTAATTATTTTCCACTTAATAAAATTCTAAAAATTTCTGAAAATTTCGATGAAATATTATTAGGAATATTTCATTTATGCATAATTGAATGCATTCGAAACATCACATTTAAACAAACCATCAGAAACCTAACTTTCAGGGAAATTCATGGAAAATTCGAAATTTCCAAAAATTATCCTAAAAATCAAATTAACGGAGACAGTTATTGTAAACATCTTTCAAGTTCGTCGCATTATCTGCGGAATTCGGATTGTCGAAAAACAAGAAATTTTGGAAAAACTTCACAGAAATAAAAATAACGAACTAGGTCAAAAGGACACCCCAGCGAATTTTTTAATCTGTCATTCAATGAATTTAGAACATTTTTTTAGTTATCATGTTACAACTGAATTTCGAAAAAATTCGAAAATTAAAAAAATTAATTAATAGATTAAATTTTAACCAATGGCGACGGGTGGGGCTGAGCAATACCGTCATTCAAGGGAAAAAAATTATTCACTTTAGACATTCTATAATTGACGTATTGCCCAAGTATTCTCACCGAAAAAATTCCGAGAGAATATTCATATAGAAAAATCGAAATCTATTGACTTTTAACGAAAATTCCGTAGAAAATTAATAGAATCCAATAGAATGTTTCGAGAATTCCACTAGAATTTCCTACAAAATTCGCCAATTTTTTCTATTGCTTTTTTTCCTACATATTTTTACTAGAGAAATTAATTAGAGAATATTTCTACTCACACTTGAAACAGCTCGTACTTTGGTGTTCCCCGAACATTCGAGAAATGGCTGAAGAAATCGGCCAACTGGTACCCATTGGAAACAGCGTGATTAACGATGAAGTAGTTAAGAGCCCTTAGAGCAGTGAACTGCGTCGGTTGATTCAGCCAACTGATATTTCCTAGAGGTGGGACTGTGCACAGAGTAATAGCCCCGACCGAGTACGCAAATTTGCTGGTCAAGAGCTCGAGGAGCTCCTCGTAATCGTCCTGAATGTAGGACGCCTCCCTCCCCTGATAGACGTCCTCTGCCCCCAGCATGATGACGAGTTTATTCGACATGACTTCCACCTCCTGGAGGGCCTTGATGCAGTCCCTCACGGTCTGCCCGCTGACGCAGAGCCCCGAGTGCAGCGGGCCATTCCTCCACTCCCTCCAGATCGGTTGTTTCAACTCCCTGATTGCCAGTTGGAGGAAGAAGTCATCCCCGATCAACTGGCGATTGGACACTAGTGGCGTCTGCACGACTTGACGATTCGTGGGGGGTGGATTCGTGATGGGCTTCACTGGACGCCCTCGAGAATCCTTCGACGAAGGTGCAGACGATCTCTTGCCGGAGTCATCGGAAGAATTCAACTCCCGGTGGATCTCGTACTGCTTCTTCCTTTGCGACCGACGATTCTCAGCCCCCACTTCCCTGCTTACTACGCGCCAGTCCTTTTATGGGCAGACAATCAGAGAATTTACGGATATTTACGTTGTCTCGGATAGTTTTCTTCAATAGTGTCTGGGGCTAGTGAGATTTAATGTTGCTAACTCAATCCAAAGAATTATTTTCATTAGTCTTCGTGTATTGATTTGATTTTTATCGAGTTTATTATCGTCCGGCTAACCCTAACTGAATGATTGGTTGATTATGTTTATATCCACAGATGTATCTAGGGGAATTAAGCAACTTTCCTGTTAATCTTCGATTCAAGGCGCAATTTACCAAAACACACATTTACTCTTAGTGGAATGAGATGTCTACCAGTTTAACTGATCTTTCTCAATAAATGATAATAATAATAATAATAATTCAATTATTTTATTTATGCAATTTTTTTTAATCCTCGATTTTCAGGGAATATTTGAGGCTGAGTTATTCTGGGGTTTTATTAGAGATAACAAAGTTGGAGAAAAATTAGCGATCGAGTGGAGTAATGGGGGTGCGAACTCGATTTTTACTACTTTTTCATGCGATATCGGGGAAAATGTGCGAGACAAGTAAATAAATAAACAAATGAATTAATTCAGTAGCGAAGCGGTAAACCGGGTTAAGTCGATTTTGACTATTGGCCGGTTTTTGACGAATATCTCGGAATCTAAAAGAGATAGAAAAATTTTTGTCAGGAACTTTTTATAGCCCGTAATTGGCTCTACAAAAAAAGTTATGAGAAAAATTTTGCTACCTCTCTTAGGTTCTGAGATATTCATCAAAAACTGATCAAAAGTCAAAATCGACTTAACCCGGTTTACCGCTTCACTACTGAATTAATTCATTCATTGGTTAATTAATCATTTATTCCATGAATACATAAATGAATGAATAGGGGAGAATGGGGCAAAATGAAGTAGTCGAAAAACGACTGTTGAATGCAATTGAAGCAAAAAAAAATTGTTATCAACTATTTTGTTTAATACAAAATTTTTTTTTGCTGGAATTGCGTCAAATAGTCGTTTTTCGGCTGTACTTTGAACAATTTTTTAAAGAGGTTTTGAAATTTCTCCTGCGCAAAATGCAAAAATCAACAACAAATTCGGTTTCATTTTTCACTGGCACTTACTTTTTTGCGTGCAAACGATTTCTGTTTGGAAATCATCTCCGTCAGATGGGAGATTTTCGCACTGTTCTCAAGAACGTAACGAAGCTCCCCGTTACGTCTCCTCGTCCTGATCTCCGGAATCTCCTGGATCAAGTCGTAAAGTGTCTCGCAGTCCCTTGGAAGGTCCAGAGGCGCTCCCTCCAGGTGCTCAAATTCTTCTGAAAATGAAAACAAATTAATTGCAACTGCCCAAATGAATAAAAATAGTTTTAAAGATGTTTCAAAAATTAATTTAAGTTACTAAATTAATTATAATTTAATAATCAAAAAAAATTACCGGAAATATTGGCTGCTGGGACGCCGTATTTATGTGCCGCAATGAAAGATTTTATTTTTCTCACGGCGTCCTCACGGTTGGGAGTAGAAACTGGGCGAACCATGGTGCGATGGTGCTTGTTCTGCACTGCGACCGCGACTGACGGAATACGCGTTATATTCCTTTGGGTCAGGTTCCCGTGAAGACTAGCCCCCCCCNAAAAAAAAAATCGATCGATAAAGTGTGAGCAATAAAAATAATAATAATGACGACAATAATAATAATAATAATACTAATAATAAGAAGAAGAAGAAGAAAAAGAAGAAGAAGAAGAAATGACAATCTTTTTTTTTTTTTTTAAATACTAATTTTCATTATCAATTTCAATAAAATTATAATCCCAATTAGCTTCAGAACTTTCAGCTGAATTTTTGAAAAATAAAATAATACAATAAGGATAGCTAAAGGAAAATTGGCGTGAATAAATATTCATTCATTCTACACGAGGAATTTGAAGAATTGATCAAACGAATTCTATTCTCTACAATGGGGATTATATCGATCGATATGTTTTCATTAGGTAATCCCCAATAAGAGAAGATGTAAACACTTGAAGGCGACATTGAATCACTTCAAGTTGATTAAAACTCATGATCCTAAAATTTTACTGACATTCGATTTTCCTCGTGAATTTTAATATTGTAAAATAATATAAAATATATTTTTAATGGAAAGAGATGTTGACTGTAGGAATCAATGGCTTCGGCAGAATCGGGAGGATGTGCCTGCGTGCCTGTCTGGAGCAGAACATCGAAGTAATAAATTGCAGAGTAATTCACATGAATTTTTTCATTATTTGTGGAATGTCGTTAGGTGAAACTTATTAATGATCCGTTCATTCCGACGGATTACATGGTGTATTTGCTGAAATACGACTCGACGCACGGCACTTATCCTCAAACGGTTGAATGTGAAAAAGATGCCATTGTGATAGGAGGTAAAATCATTTTTCTTGCGACATCTTTATTAATTACCCAAAACAATAAGACCTTATTTTAATATTTCAAAGGTCTTAAGGGGAGACTACTACGAGTTTAAAAAGTCGTGGGTTATTGGAGTGATTGGACTGAAAAAGAATAATTAGTGCAAAAAAAATTTTTTTATTGTTCATTTGCCCGAAAACGGTTAAAATGCAAAAAACAGTCCAGGGCCTCCAATTTTTGAGCTACGAAGGATTTTTTTTTTCAAAATTTTCGGAAAAATATGTGGAATAACAATTACGAGCTAGTTTTTTTTAATTCGCCTCTTACAAGGCTAAATTTGCTTTTTTTATATTTTTTTACACAAATAGTGAATTTTTTTATGTGAAAAAAACCGGAATCAGCTGTGTAGGAGTCGAATTCCAAAAAACTGCCTCATAATTATTGTTCCACACATTTTTCCGAAAATGTTGAAAAAAAAAATCTGTAGCTCAGAAATTAGAGGCCCTGAACTGTGTTTAGCATTTTAAGCGTGTTCGGGCAAACGAAGAATAAAAACAAATTTTTTTGCACTAATTATTCGTTTTCAGATCTATATGATCGATCTTCAACGTATGAAAAGTCTCACTCAAATAACCCACGACTTTTAAAACTCGTCGTAGTCTCCCCTTAAAATAAAATTTTCAAAAATTTCAATTTAAAAAAAACTTGGAAAAATCATATCCAGGAATTGTTATAGAAAAAATCTCAACAGAATAAGTTACGTGGAAAAATCAACATCTGTAGACACTTTTCTATAAACAAATCTATTTAAAAATGCAGGGGAACATTGCAAAATTTTTAATAGAATTGATGCAAAAAAAATTGCATCTTTCAATAGAGTTCTTTTAGAACCCCAATAGAATTTCTTAGAGGGTCACTCGCGGGGTGAATAGTTACTTTTATCAATTTCCAGACAGTTATTTTGTTATTCAGATGTACCAATTGCCACGTCTCAAGAAAAAGATCCTTCGAAAATAAAATGGAAACAGCATGGGGTTCATTTCGTAATTGAAGCCACTGGAGTATTCACAACAGTGGAAAAAGCTTCGGTATGTGAAAATTCTACGAAGCAAACGGCAATTATAGAATTTCTGAGGATCAATCTAAAAAATTAGAAATTTTACTACAAAATTGCGAGGAACTTTTTTTTTAAAGCAGAGAATTCTCTGCAAAGAATATATTTTTTGAGATAATTCAACAATTACAACCAGACAAATTGCATTTGTCTGTAAAATAAAATTCGAGAAATTGAAAAAAATGTTTTTGCCATTCGTCTCTAATCACGAATAATTATTTATTTTTTATTTATTTAAGGCCCGGGTGTACTATCTTTCGAATGTTATCTGGATTTGTTTTATCTTTCGTAATCCAAAATTGTCAATTGAGTGGTACATCATGTAAAAATTCCCAAAAATTATGATAGAATGATAAAAAAAATAGATAAAGATAGAAAAATTTCAGATGAAGAAAGATGAATAAAAAACAGCGAAATAATGTTCATTCGAGGTAATGCTTAAAACAAAATTCGAGAAATTGATAAAAATGTTTTTGTCATTCGTCTCCAATCACGAATAATTATTTATTTTTTATTTTTTTACTTTTATTTATTTAAGGCCGGGGCGTACTATCTTTCGAATGTTATCTAGATTTGTTTTGTCTGTCGTAATCCAAAATTGTCAATTGAGTGGTACATCATGTAAAAATTCCCAAAAATTATGATAGAATGATAAAAAAAAATAGATAAAGATAGAAAAATTTCAGATGAAGAAAGATGAATAAAAAACACCGAAATAATGTTCATTCGAGGTAATGGTTAATACAAAATTCGAGAAATTGATAAAAATGTTTTTGTCATTCGTCTCCAATCACGAATAATTATTTATTTTTTATTTATTTAAGGCCCGGGTGTACTATCTTTCGAATGTTATCTGGATTTGTTTTATCTTTCGTAATCCAAAATTGTCAATTGAGTGGTACATCATGTAAAAATTCCCAAAAATTATGATAGAATTATAAAAAAAATAGATAAAGATAGAAAAATTTCAGATGAAGAAAGATGAATAAAAAACACTGAAATAATGTTCATTCGAGGTAATGCTTAAAACACAATTCGAGAAATTGATAAAAATTTTTTTGTCATTCGTCTCTAATCGTGAATAATTATGTAAGTTGCATATAGACGGAGGTGCCAAGAGGGTCGTGATAACTGCCCCCTCGGTTGATGCCCCCATGTACGTGTTCGGAGTGAACCACTGTTGCTATTCCCCGAAGAAAGGTTCAATTGTGTCCGCTACTTCCTGCACGACAAATTGCGCCGGGCCCTTGATTAAAATCATGAATGAAAATTTTCAAGTTCTTGAGGGAATGGTAACAAGCATCCACGCGACTACCGCAGCCCAAAAGACTGTGGACGGACCAACCGGAAAGGTGATTGCTTATTTCATTCTTTGAAGAATGCATCGGAGTTTCCGAGGAATTCATTGTTCTCCCTGAATTTGATTCTATTTTTATGGGAAATATAAGTTTCAGTGCTTCGTAGCTCAAAAATTGGAGGCCCTGGACTGTTTTTAGCATTTTAAGCGTTTTCGGGGAAACGAACAATAAACAAAATTTCTTTTTGCACTAATTATTCGTTTTCAGATCTATATAATCGACCTTCAACGTATGAAAAGTCTCACTCCAATAACCCACGACTTTTAAAACTCGCAGTAGTCTCCCCTTAAAGAAAATTATATATTTTTTAGCTGTGGAGGGATGGCAGGGGCTGCCTCCAGAACATTATACCCACCTCAACAGGAGCTGCTAAATGCATTTCAAAAATTCTCCCTGAGTTGAAGGAAAAAATATCAGCGATTGCTTTTCGAGTGCCCATTGCTAATGTTTCTCTCTGCGACATTACTCTGAGGTAACATAATTCGGAAAGCCATTAAAGAATGGTAGAATTCATGAATCGAGTCGTATTGAATAATCATAATTTGTCAATAACAAAATTAGAATAATGATTAATTAAAGCCCGGGTGTACTATCTTTCGGACGTTATCTTGATGTTTTTGTTCATCTTTCGTCATCTGAAATTGTCAATTAAGTCCTGCATCATGCAGAAGTTTTGAAAAATTATGAATGAATAATCAAAAAAAAGAAAAATCATTCTATCATAATTTTTAGGAATTTCTACATGATGTACCACTCAATTGACAATTTTGGATTACGAAAGATAAAAAAAATCCAGATAACATTCGAAAAATAGTACACCCGGGCCTTAATAATTATAATTCCTCTAAATTTATTTTACTGACAAATACAATTTGTCTCATTGTAATTATTGTTGATGTATGTAAATTGCGTGAGAAAAATTTGAAAAAAATCGCGAATATTCAGCGTCATTCAAATTACATTTTGCACAGCATTATCATTTTTTCGAACATTCGTTTTGAACATTCTTTTTTATCGAAGTCACTCATTTTAATCTTAAAAAAATTGGAAAGAAAAATCGGAAATTAATTGTGTCAATTTTGTAGGGTGAATAAACCAGTGACATATGACGAAGTGAAAAAAGTCATGAAGACAGCATCAGAAACTACTATGAAGGGAATTTTACATTACACCGATGACGACGTTGTTTCTTCTGACTTCAATCACTCGAAATATTCCTGTATTTTCGATGCGAAAGCCGGCATACCCCAGACCAGCACTTTCGTAAAAATCGTTGCATGGTAACAGCAACTAACAGTCATAATAACTTTCTATTTGTCCATCTCCCTATTATTCAATATTCTCTTCAGGTACGACAACGAGTTCGGATTTGCTCACAGGATCGTCGACTTGTTAAAATTCATGCACGAGGTGGACGAAGGGAAAGGTTGTGCCAAGGGTCAAATGCTTGACTCTGAAAATGATGATTAGAACTCTAATCACACGGTGGTATTGCCTTAGGATGTACTTTAAAGTGTACACTTATGAAAAAATTCTCGAAATTCGACAGATCCCTTATAAAAAAAAAAAAAAAAATACCACATACAAATATAAATACGTAAACTCTCTAAAAATCGCACACGCATTCATACCATTTATACAGCTGCCAAGAGAAGGAAAACGCGGAATTTCAGACGATTTTTCACATTAATTTGGAGATACCCTAGTCTTAACGCGAATTTTGAGCCCATCATAAAATATATAAAAAATACATAAAACATATATTTAGTTTATATTATATAGTCGCGAAGTGGTAAAACGGTACAAGTCAATTTTGATTATTGACCAGTTTTCAATGAATATCTCGAACCCTAAGGGAGACGGCAAAATTTTTGTTATAACCTTTTCTGTAGAGCTGATTGAGGCCTACAACAAATGTGATTATAAAAATTTCGCTATCTCCCCTAGATTCGGCAATATCACTCAAAAACTCAACTGCGAGATGAGTCGACTTGAACCACTTTACCACTTCGCTACTGAATTATTCTCGGCGGAATCAACGAAAATGCAAAAAGTACCCTGAAAACTGCGGCGAGACATTCGAATTCACCGCGTTGGTGCCCACCAACCGACACACGTGTTCCCGAGGATCTCCGAGAATAGCCGAGCAACAAAACCAATAAAAAGCCGCCTCCTGGAGCGCACGATCCACGATCGTACCACCACCACCCAGGCCTTTTATATTTGCTCTCTTGTCCTTCAAGTGACACTACGCCCGTGACTACTCAGCTGCCCACTCGTACGCCGGTACAGTTAACCATTCTTACGTAAGTAACTCAAATCACTAAATTATTCCCCCACTCGCCCTTTTCTCATCACCACATCACCAAATTCCCTCATCTTCTCCCGTTTTTCGCGTCAAAATTCTTTTTTCTTCTCGTGTCATCAATTATTGTGGAAAAAACGGGAAGAAAATGCGGTCAACGTGACGCGTTGGGGTTAAACAAGTAATTTTCGTGTCTCGATTAGACGAAAAGAACATTTTTAGTGCGTTATTACTGTTTTCGTTCAAATGAGGCGCTGAATTTTTTTATTCTCTTCGTCAATCGAATAAAAACTCATTTTTCTGGACGAAAAATTGGATTCCACGGGCTAGAGACGACTAATATCGAGTTAAAAAGTATAGACTCCTGGCGCTGCTGAATTTTTCGGGCTTGCACCATTCCTAAACATTAATATCAATTTTTTTCCTCAGAAATATACTCTAGACACACCAAATAACCACGAGAAACATGAAGTTGAATTTGTTCGGTTATTGTTCATTGCAAGAAGTTCCTCTGAATTTGGGGCCCAGGGGCCTATACTTTTCAATCCGATAGTAATTAGCACGAGTTGATTTGAGGTCAGATTTTGTCAGTACAATTTCATTGAGAATCTTCCCTCCGAGAGCAAAATCACTCTGACAAAGTGAGTCATGTAATTGTCCCTGAAATGGTGCAACTGACGCGATTCCGCTTTTCCCAGCCGGCGACCCGATAGGAAATTTTCCGACGCCATTGATAATTTTTCGAATCGTAAAACCGGCGTCTTCAGAGCTCCGAATAATCTCGGGGGATTTTTTTAGGGGAGGGTAGGGTAAAATGGACACTAGACTTTTTTATGATTATTCATAACTCAGAAACAAATGCACCAATAGAGCTCAGTTTAGGCTCATCACAAAGGGAAAGAATTGTTCTTTGTATTGAAAAAAAAAAGATTAAATTTCATCGACATTTCAACCCGTCACTAATATTTTTAAAAAAGTCAAAAGTGTCCATTTTACCACAACCTCCCCTAACGAGTGGAGGAAACTGAGGAAGAATTCGTGGTTTATTTTCGGGGTATTTCATTGAGCCTTCGGTGAATCTCGTGGTACAACGCGTGAACTTCAACGTGACATGCTCAGTAATATCGATCCACTACACGAGACTACGAGACTAACTGTGTGCACAGTATGGCTGACGCATACTCCGAAGGGATGAATTTTCCTGACCTTCGGCGACCTCCAAATTCGAGTTTCTTATTCGGGGTTTTCTGGGGCACCTCGGGGGGCAGTGACTGACGGAGTGGGGACTTCAGTGGATTTGACATTTCGCTAATTCGAATGTTAATTATGCGCGTTTTAGCGAGTGGGTGATCATTTTTTTAATTACGGGGAAACGGAACCCCTGAGTATATATGAACTTTTAGAATTGTATTTTCTCTTACAATTAGTCATTTTTATCTATGAAATCAGGGGAGGTTGGGGTAAAACGGACACTTGACTTTTTTTTTAATGTTAATCCGGCGTTGAAATGTTGATAAAATTTAATCTTTTTTTTTCCATACAAATAACAACTCTTTCCCTTTGGAACGAGCCCAAATCTAGCTCAATTGATAAATTTGTTTCCGAGTTATGAATAATTAGTGAAAAAAATTAATTGTTTATTGTTCGTTTGCCCCGCACATGTGAAAAAATCGTATAGAAATTTTCTGTACGGACTGCTGGAATAATATTCTGCACATAATAATCCTATATTTTTATTGCAAATGGGATAATTTAAATAACCGGTAAATAAGTAAAATAATTTTATTAATTAGACTTTATTCAATCGGAAGGCACATCCACTCTTTACCAATTCCTCTGAGGAACTGAACAGAATGACAAAGGGATACAACGCCCTGAGCCTCTGGTGACGTGAACAAAAGATGTCCTATTCATTCAACTCTCAAAAATTTAAGAAAGATGTTACGAATTAATGAATTAATGTCCAGTAATTTTCCACGTTTTTTTATTCTACAACCATAACTTTGGAAACTCCAGGGCTACGTCAAATTGAATGGCAATTGAAGAACATTTCAGCTCATCAAAATAGAAAAAAGCAATCAAGATTACGCTCGAAAGATAATGCACGCAGGCCTTAATACAGAAAATCGGGGCTCAATGATTTCTCCAAGGTTTTTTTTATCATTAATTGTCGTCAATACCCTCGATACAATCTAATGATTTAAAACTTTACTATATATTTTATTACTGCATTCTCATTCTCATCGTGAACGTAATAATTAGTCGTTGCTGTTTAGATTTTTAACAGACTTTGCCTGCAGCTGATGAAATTTCCCAAAAATATCGTAAATCTCTTGGTATTTTATCTTGAAAAATCACTTATCATGATGTCATATTCCGCAAGATATGTGAAATTGACTTGCCCGGTTGCAGTTCATCAATTTCTTAAGGATGTTTATTCTTCCTCCGAAAATCGAAAAAAAAATGTACAAAATATATAATTTTTTGACCTCATTCTTTCAAGGATTTCCATTTTTTTCTTGCTGTTGGGCTTTGCTGGGAAATAGATAAGACCTTGAAAGATCATTATAAATATCCTCGATACAGTCTAATGACTCGAGACGTTATTGCATTTTTGTTACGCGCATTTTTATGATTTTTATTGTGAGTCAAATAATTAGTTGTTACTAATTCAGATGTCTACTAGATACCTTTCTTGTAGCTAATTATATTTTCTATTAAAAAATTTGGTACTCGAAATTAAGGGTCAAAATAAGGGTCACGAGGGTCAAAATAAGGGTCACGAAGGTCAAGATAAGGGTCCCAAGGATCAAAATAAAGGCCAGATGGTCATATGGGTCAGATTAAGTGTCACAAGGGTCAGATTAAGGCTCAAGAGGGTCAAAATACGCGTCACGAGGGTCAGATTAAGGCTCACGGAGGTCAAGATAAGGGTCTCAAGGGTCAGAATAAAGGTCATCTGGTCATATGGGTCAGATTAAGGGTCTAAATAAGGGCCACAAGGATATAAAAATCCAAATCGACTTCTGGTGATGAAAATTTGGTGCTCGGAGTTAAGAGTCCAAAATTAAGGGTCGAAATAAGGGTCACAAGGGTCAGAATAAGGTTCCAAATAAGGGTCATGGGGGTCATATGGAGGATATACGGGGANGGGGGGGGGGGGGTAAGCCCCCCAGTAAGTCAATAAAAATCTATAAATAATACTAATTTTTCTTGAATTTTTTTCTTCACTAAAATAATAAAAAATTCACAAACCCAGAATAAAAACTTGAATAAAGTAATAAAAATTTCACTAGATAGTCTATCGATAATTCTCACGCATCACAGATTGAATTCTGCATTAATAACGACAATTTATTTCAGTTGTTGACAGTAAAAAGAATCAATCATGAGCAAAATTGGAATCAACGGATTTGGACGTATTGGACGTCTCGTCCTGAGGGCTTCCCTCGAGCGCGGAGGACAGGTAATTGAATTAAAACTAAAATACAAAGCACAAAAACAAGAGAGGGGTAATATTTTTCGAATGAATGATCAACGTAAAGTGCTGAAAGGTTAAATTAACTGAATTACAATTTATTTATTTATTTATTTTTTAGGTCGTTGCTATCAATGATCCCTTCATTGGCCTTGACTACATGGTCTACTTGTTCAAATATGACTCTACCCATGGCAGATTCAAGGGTGAGGTCAAGGCTGAAGATGGATGCTTAGTTGTCAATGGAAACAAGATTCAGGTCTTCTCTGAGAGGGACCCCAAAGCCATCCCATGGGGCAAGGCTGGTGCTGAATACGTCGTGGAATCCACTGGTGTCTTCACCACCATTGCGCAGGCCTCTGTATGTGGAACAAAATTTTTAATTATTTTTTTTTCTGAAGAAAAAAAAATTGAAACGGTTTCTGCAATCCCATTCGTTTAATTTTTGTTTTTCATTTTCCTTTTTTTAATTTTTTTTCTTAACTAACACATGCATACATTCAAAAAAAAACATGATATCAAACAATTTTCCACCCTAAAAATAATAGTTTTTTTCTTTTAATAGATTCTGTTCAACTCGTATTTAACTGTTTCACTGAAGTTCTTCGTAAATTAATTTTATCGTGGATTTTTCCAGGCTCACTTGGAGGGTGGAGCCAAGAAGGTCATCATCTCAGCCCCATCAGCAGACGCACCCATGTTCGTCTGCGGTGTTAACCTTGACGCCTACGATCCAAGCTTCAAAGTTGTCTCCAACGCCTCCTGCACGACCAACTGCCTGGCTCCATTGGCTAAGGTCATCCACGATAACTTCGAGATCGTTGAGGGTCTCATGACCACTGTTCACGCAACCACTGCCACTCAGAAGACAGTTGATGGACCATCTGGAAAGGTAATTGTCACAATTTTTCCTAGTACTTGCTATCCCTTTTTTCAATTGAGTAGCGAAGTGGTAAAACAGTACAAGTCAATTTTGACTATTGACCAGTTTTCAGTGAATATCTCGGAATCCAAGGGAGACAGCAAAATTTTCGTTATAACCTTTCTTATAGCCCTTAATTCTCTCTACAAAAAAGGTTATTACGAAAATTTCGTTATCTCCCTCAGATTCGGAGATATTTCTCGAAAACTGAGGTAATTATTCCATGCTTTCTTTCTGGAAATGAAAAAGGATGACAAAAATTAACGCCACATGAAATTTCTCGTTTCACGATGTCTTACGAACGGTTGTTTCCCCCTCTAGCTGTGGCGTGATGGACGTGGTGCAGCCCAAAACATCATTCCAGCATCGACTGGTGCTGCCAAGGCCGTTGGCAAAGTTATTCCATCGTTGAATGGAAAACTCACTGGCATGGCATTCCGTGTCCCAGTAGCCAACGTCTCAGTCGTCGATCTGACCTGTCGTCTTGGCAAGCCAGTCTCCTACGACGCCATCAAGGCCAAAGTCAAGGAAGCCGCTGAGGGACCACTCAAGGGCATTCTCGGCTACACCGAGGACGACGTTGTCTCCTCTGATTTCATCGGTGACAATCACTCCAGCATCTTCGACGCTAAGGCTGGAATTCCACTCACCGATTCATTCGTTAAACTCATCTCATGGTATGACAATGAGTTCGGCTACTCCAGCCGTGTCATTGATCTCATCAAGTTCATGCAGACCAAGGATCAGTAGAAAAAGAGAGACATTCTTTTAAATGTTACAAAATAATGTTGAGATGATTCCTTGTCGATGCGTAATATCATTTTGGCTAGTGTAGTGTTGTCAGCCAAAACAAACAATAAAATTAATGAATTTTCTGGAACATTCATCAGAACCGAGGACTCGTATTGTCGCCGAAGTGGAGCCTTGAGAATGCGTAAAAATCAACGGGAAAATTGATAATTTTAGAGTCTAGCACCAGAACACGAGGCTAGGGGGGGCTCTGGAGATCGTTTTTTCTTTCTCTCTTTATTTCGATCCTTGAAATAGATGTGGAGGTTCAAGTTATCCAAATATACATATTGACAACACTTGTAACTATGTTCATTGATTGTAATGAAATGATATTAATGTTACACCACTTTTTCATTCATTTTAATTATCATCATTTGAGTACTGACATTAATAAATAATGTTATGCCCCAGATTATTGTTCTTTTTATTTATGTTTTGTTGGGATTGTCTGTGGGGATTTAGGGGTCCATAAAGTTGGCGGGACAAGGTCAAAATATTTTTTTTTTGGGTCAAAAATATGTCAAAAATGGTTTTTGGGGCCCAAACAAAAAAAATGGTGCTGCAACCCTTAGGAGGTTGAGGGTAGGGGGTGCAAAATAATGATGATTTCGAAAATTTATATATCATAAATATGTGCTTTTAACGGAGGAGACGGTCCCATTCACGAATCGCAACGAATTTTTTATTTAGTAGGTTTGAAGGGTTTCTTTGGTAAAATTATCTTTCTAGTAAGAGTTTTTGGGCTTTCAAAAGAATTTAGATAATTTTTCAGACCGAAAATTTCCTATTTAATCTAGGAGAATATCGAACGATTCATGACAAATCGTTCTCGTCTAAAAAATGTAATAGAAAAACCTATCGAATTCGTTAGAACATTCTATTGAATTTCTATTGAACTGTTCTATTAGTTTCTGGCCGATTCTATTGAAATGTTCAATAGAAAATATTCAGTAGAAAAAGTCAATAGAATTCAGTTTTTCTATGCAACTTATTCTATTGAGATCTTTTCTATAGAATTTCCTCGGCTCAAATTTTCCAAGTTTTTTCGTTTGATTTTCTTGATGAGAAAAAAATAAAAATAGAATGAAAAAAAATTAGAAAATTTGAGTCGAGCAAGTTTTCTAGAAAATATATGAAAAGAATAAGTTATATAGAAAAATCGAATTCTATTTTCTACTGAACATGTCAATAGAATCACCCAAAAACTAATAGAAAGTTTAATAGAACTTCAATAGAATTTTCCAGCGAATTCGATAGGGTTTTCTATTAAATTTTTTCGTGGGTGTTTTCAGGGAATTTGGCAGTGAATATTCATTTTCACTTGAAAGTTCATGTAAATTGTGAAATTGCGGTTTTCCTGCCGCTAAAAATTGGGTCTTTACTTTAATTTTCTGAGATACCTGAAATTCCATTGACTTTTTTCTTCTTAAATCGAATTCAAGAACTTCCGAAAATTCAGCCAAATTTTTTTAACAACTCGCGTTTGTTGTTTTGCACAAGTGTTATCTCTCTTGTTTCTGTTTCCTGAGAATGACTTATGTCATAATTTACTTCGTACAACACAATGTACAGTTAATAAACATCAATCAATCAATCAATCTCTCTTACAGCATAACTATTTCCCGTGTTTGGGACATGAATNTTTTTTTTTTTTTTTTTTTTTTTTTTTTTTTTTTTTTTTTTTTTTTTTTTTTTTTTTTTTTTTTTTTTTTTTTTTTTTTTTTTTTTTTTTTTTTTTTTTTTTTTTTTTTTTTTTTTTTTTCGTGTCAGATGGCCTGGCGCAGTGGGTAAGGTCGTGGCCTCACGTGCACAAGGTTCCGAGTTCAAATCCCGGTCGGGTAGAACGGTGAGATCTAATCATTTTAAAGTCTTGATCATCATCGCAATATACTGAATCGAGTCGAAGCGATGTAAAATAACAACAACAAAAATCATTTTTTTCGTGACTTCGGCATTATTTCATTCACTCCGTTATGACGATTCAAACTGAACTATTGATTGAACAAACTCCGTAAAACACTGAAGAACTTCTCATCCCCCGACCATAATTTAAAATTTTATTCCGTTATTGGAAACTATGATTCATACTCATCCATAAAATAGATAGCAGTCCCCGACGAGAAATATTACTTTATAAAATTGCCTTTAATTTGAGTGGCACTTGCAAATGAGAGAATGCCATTATAGTAATTGTTGGTGACTTCGAGTAAATGGTGAATTTTTCCATCTGAAAATAAACACTTCAATGGGGCTCAGTATTTTTCCCCAGGTCACTCAGATGTCCCGGAAGAAATTCACATTCTCCGATAGAACCTCCCCCCCACAGTTTGAGAAATGCATTCAATCGACAAAAATTCGTGGCATTTCGTGATGTTATTTCGTTTCGGAAATATTCTGGGGCTCAACCCACTTCGACTGACCAATGACAGCGCGATAGAGCCTTCTCTATTCGGTTTACTTTACCCTTTATTGCAAACAATATTATTCGGGTTTATCTGTGTTGAGGTATTCCTCGATAGATATCTCATAACAACGCCGGGTGAGACTGAAGTTTTTTTCATTCTGGACCAACAAATTGTCGTGCTGACATTCCTGGAACTCTCGAGCTGTTGGATTTCCTTCGGTTTTTCTCAAAAACGATTGCTCAGAATCGCTGATCAATTCAAAAAAACTAGTTTCATTGAACAAAGACTCGACATTGTTTGTGATTATAGTAAATTTGTAAGACGTTTTGCCATTTCCATGTCCTGTTTCAACTTCTTCTTCCTACTGTCCGTGACATATACCATGTGGATCGCATTCAGGATGACGCCCGAACAAGATCTCAAGTGGTGGTGCATTTACAATGTCATACGTGTTATACATTACAATATGATCTGCTTATTTGTTGCTACGATTACACTTGTGACCCTGAAATTTAGTCGTTTGAATACGCAATTGGAAAATTTACTGATTTGCGATGAGAGCAATGGACATCAGTTTTTTGGAATTGTCTCAGAGTAATGAAATGACGGAATTTTATCATATTGTACCCTCTGGCGAGAGTATTGTGGGTTTTGATGAATCTCATTGTGTCAAGTATTCGCGTCAGAGGGTGATTGGTATTGAAAATCTGTGGAAAAGTGGTAAAACGACGAGGCTTGACATATCTGCCATCCTAATAGGGAACTTTCATGATTTTTAAAAATTTTAAAATGTCAAATGCTCAATCTTTCATCTATAAAGATTATATATTATATTAAACATCATATTGCTTGTTAATTCACGATTGATTGTCGAAAGTGGAAGATTTCAAACGCGTTGAGATCGCCAATGACGAAATAAGAGTGGTCATGCCGTAAATAATACGCCTCAAAAACTTCTGATTTCCAATCAATCACGAAATTCGTAGCGAAGCGGTAAAACTATTCAAGTCAACTTAGCTCTCAGCTGAGTTTTCGAAGAATATCTCTTAATCTAAGGGAGATAGAAAAATTTTCGTAATAACCTTTTTTGTAGATCGTAATCTGCCCTACAAAAAAGGTTATATCAAAAATTTTGCTATCTGCCTTAGATTCCGAGATATTCATAGAAAAACGATCAGTAGTCAAAATCGGCTTGAACCGTTTTATCGCTTCGCTATTGAAATATCTAGGCAATATTTTTCCATAATTCTGTTCGATTATCTATGGGTTATGTAAAATGGATGAATGGGGAAAATTGAGTTCCATGCAAGTTTCCTATTGCTATATTTCGGTAGATCGTGCGCAATTTTTTCGTAAAATTGCCCTTTTCCATAACGATAACTGAATTAACATGATTAAGAAGGATCTTGTGCTACCTGAATTGTTTTACCACTTGAGTATTCATGATCACTTTAATTATCCAGAAGAGAACGACTTTTCTTGAATGACGAGTTATGGCTCTTCAGTGAGCTTCATCGAGAAACATGTGGTCTCCTCGACAAAATCGTGTCTTACTTCACGATTCCCCTGTTAATTACAATAACATCCCACATCATCCACATAACAGCCAACATCTATTGCTACTACTTGTATGTAGAAGATGTTTGTCCGAAAAATTGGGATGTTTTCTACGTGACATCGATCCTCCATTGGATCACTTTCCCGATCGCGGCCATTGTGATCATATCAGACTGCTGTGGATGCGTGATTATTGAAGCTCGGAGAACATCCAAAATCCTTCACTCATCGGGCTTGGCTAATCATTCACGAGTAGATCATGTACAAATGGTAAATAATGTCACGCATGGAGACCCAGTCCATACGTCGGTTATTTTATTTTGGAATATAATTTCCATTTCATTTTCATCCCACGGAACTGAAAAAATCGTATAGAAATTTTCTGTACCGATTGCGTAGGGGCAGTTGGTGTAAAATGGACACTTTTGACTTTTTTTTAAATGGTAATGACAGGTTGAAATGGTGATGAAATTTAATAATTTTTTTTCAATGCAAAAGAACAATCCTTGCCCTCTGTGATGGGCCTGAACTGAGCTTGATTGATAAATTTGTTTCTGAGTTATGAGTAATAAAAAAAAAACGTCTAAAGTGCCCATTTTACCCCACCCTACCCTGTAGAATTTCTATAGGATTTTCGTATGTGATGAAAATCCTATAGAAAGATCTTCTCTAATTGTCAATATCTTCAATTATAAATCAGTAGCGAAGCGGTAGACCGGGTCAAGTCGATTTTGACTATTGGCCCGTTTTTGACGAATATCTTGGAGTCTAAAAGAGATAGAAAAATTTTTGTCATGACCTTTTTATAGCCCTTAATTGGTTCTACAAAAAAGGTCATGAGAAAAATTTTGCTATCTCTCTTAAGTTCTGAGATATTCATCAAAAACTGATCAAAAGTCAAAATCGACTCAACCCGGTTTACCGCTTCACTACTGAAATGAAGACATTGACAACTGGAAAAAATCTCAATACTTCCCATTTTGTCCGACCCTCCCCAATTAATTTTTAAATTTCAATTACGATAAATCAATCTAAATTAATTATCATTATCTCATAATATTACTGAAAGTAATGATTGATGCCGATCTATGTTAACGAGAATTCCCTAGAATTTTAATAGATTCCCCATAGAATTTCCAGATAATTTTAAAAGAATTTTCCAGCAAATTTGCCAAGGTTTTCTATTGAATTTATTTATACGTTATTTCTCTCGTTTTTCAGCAATTCAATCTACTTTCCCTCCAATTATTACGGAAAGACGTCAAAGTAACATTGTACGGGCTCTGCGATGTGAACCACTGTCTTCTAGTTCAGGTAAGAATTATATAAAAATCCATGAGTACATGCAGATGACAATAATATTTCTTCAGATGACGTGTGCGATGGTGACCTGCATAGTGATCATGGTGCAATTCGATAAAGACTGATAACAAGTGATTCAGTAAAAGTTGGGAGAATGATTGATTGTGATGCTGCCGTAGAAGAATGAAATGCTGAGATAAATCCAGAGGATTTCATATGTTCTTGTAATTCACAGTTTTTCATTTTTTATTTATTTTGATCAACAGCTGTTTTTATTCTTCGAAAACGGAGAAATCGTCGATCAATAGTAATGAACCATTCATTTTCATTTATTCATTTCAGATTATATTATTGTGAGCGCAAATTGTCAGACATGAAGAAATTTAATAGAAAAGCGGCGAATTCGCGAGACAATTCTATTTATTTATTTATTTATTTATTTATTTGTTGCAATTGGTACATGGTACCACTTAGGGAGATCCCTGTATACAGGAGAAATAATATAATTTACATAATATAATATAATATAAAGGCCTCTAAAGATGAAAAATGTCTGCGAAAGAAAAGTAAAAAATAAAATGGGTATAAAATGAAAATTCAAAATTCGCTAAAAAAATCTATTGGATTTCTATTACTTTTTGCCTGACCCTCTTAAAACGTTCACTAGAAAAAATTCTACAGAAAAAGTGAATAGAATTCGGCTTTTTTCCATTTTCTATTGAGATATTTTCAATAGAATTTCCTCAGCTCAAATTTTCCAAGTTCTGGTCATTCCATTTTTGTTCACAAAAAAACTATATAAAATATTCCAATAGATGCAATAAAATATAAAATATAAACCTCATAGAACTCTTTGTACTATCAACGGTAATTTAAAAAAAATAATAATAATGTCAACCACTTTTTTGAGACTGAATGTAGGGAATAATTTGTAAATGAGGAAGCGACTGTGACCGAAATAAAACCAGTGGAAAACATTGTATGATGCGATGTAACACTAATGAATGAATAACATTAAATTGAATTGAGTATAAAATATAAAATAAAAAATAGATAAAATAAAATATTTCAATATTTCAATAGAAACCCAATAGAATTGTGCAGCGAATTCGCTAATCTGTTTTTCTATTCAATTTTTTCACGTACGGTGTATGATCTGCGTGACAATGATGCATGAGTACTGCTAATGGGATTGTGGGCTATTAGCCTGAGTGATTCTCTCCCAGCCCTTGAATATTTCCCGATACTTCCGACAATAGCAATCGATGTTTTTCAGGTTCGTTGCAACGTTTTGAAGACAAGCAGAAACAAAATGAATTCGTTTGAGAAACTTTCTAGAAAAATTCTAGTACGAGTAGGGGAGGGTGTGCCTGTACCGCCCACCTAAGGGGAAATGCCAGTTTTATATTTGATATTTCAACTTGAGTATAAAAACCGTATTTGTGAGACTTCTTTAACTATTGAACTCGTTATTCTCGAAGTGTAGACGCCCAATTCTCCTTAGAATCCACAAAATTGATTGAAAATAAAAGAGAGAGAGCCTATTGAGCGGTACTAATAAATTTAAATTTATTTAATAATTTGACATTGAAAGAAAAAAATTATAATTTTTTTATTTTGATAAATTTATTTATTTTAATTAATTTAATAATATTTTTTATTTAAAATTTTAAGTTAAAAAAACTTTAAATTTTCAAAATTTAAAATATAGAATAGATTTATAAATTTTAGTAAAGAAGATCAAAATAATATCAATTCAATTTACCGATTAATCCCTCGGCACGATTCCAATGCCGCTCATAGGGTTTTGCGTGTATCGCTCGCGCCGCAACCTAACCTGTACTCGAGTGCTGTCGAGCAATTACGTGGCCGATTCTATGAGCGGTATTACCGGCTCCGCTTGGCGTCAACAAAATTGTTGATAATTATTGACATGAGTGGAATTTTAAGTTCGAATTGGTCTCAAATTACGTGTGAAAGTACCACGAATCGAATGACCACAGTTTAATATGAGAATTCAGTGTTTGAAACTATCAAAAACCTTAATTAAAAGTCCACAAATTTTGCGCTGTAAAGACCTCAAAACTTCGTTACGTGTTTTTTCATATTTAAAGTGGTAAATAAAGTGAAATATTTCCGACGATCACATCCTATCAGCAAATTCTTCATGATCAGGAACAGAAAGAAATTTTCAAGTTGATGGTTGTGGAGAAAATCGGGTGAGCGGTACAGGCACACCCTCCCCTACTGGAAAAAATTACAATCCACCAGCTGCGAAAACTTCTAGTGCTGTTAAGGTAAAATTTCTTGGTATTTCTGGTAAAATTTCGGGGGACGTCTGTGAAATTTCGGGGGATTTCTGTGAAATTTTCACAGAAATACGGGGAAAATTCACGTTTTCCCCAATAAAATTTCTAGTGCCGGCACTGGAATTTTTTCCTGGCCGTCACTTTGCGCCTCTTTTCCCGCGCTAGCACTAGAATTTTTCTAAAAAATTTCTCTCCGTGTATTCTCAATTCATGAATACACATTCCTGATTCAGGAATCATTCCTGATTATTCCTTATTGCTGATTCAGAAAAACACTCCTGATAACAAGTGTCAAACTCGAATTACGAGTTAAATCGATACTAAATCACTGAAATATTGCTGTCCCTACGCCGTCGACGGAACCAGATAAAGTCAAGTAATCATCGGGATAGAGTAGGGAAAATTGAAAGACTCATCACAATATTCAACTCAGAAAATTCTTGTTCATCTGCTGTTTTTTGTTCTATGATTGGTCTGACAATGGTATCCAAGACTGTGCCAAGTGATCAAAATCGTTGAACTGCTAGAGTGCAATCCAAGTTTCTGAATATTAGGTAAATCAGACAAAATTTTTCACAAATGCTTCAGCTTGACTTCGGAATACTCTGCAGAAGGGGATCAATAATTTTAGTTTTTATTAATTCTTGGTACAAATTTGGGATATTTGGGAGAATCTTCCAGGTAGGGTTATCGATAGCAGACGGAATTGATCTCGATCCAAAATCTTTGCTCGGGTTTGCCGATGTCTCTCAGCGCAATATCAACCAAAGGAAGGCGTGTGGGCTTATCCGTGGTATATGTGATTTCAGTTGTAGCCCATTCATTCGCCCGGGTCTAAAGACATATAAAAGTTAAGTAATCGTGTTGAATACTTGTGTTAGTCCCCATGGAAAAATATATCCAAAATATATATGATGTAGGCCAATTTAATATATTCTTCTTCATTTCCTCGAATTCTACGAGACATATTGACATTTGGAAAAGATATTCGGAAAGTCAATGGAATTGTCTCTGCAGTGAACTATTTTATTTTTTTTAAAATGCATTTGTAATATTTTTTTCTATGAACAAATTTGTAGATGAAAATTTTACATCCAACCGATTCAATCATTAAATCATCTCGTTTATCGACAAAAATTCCCCCAAAATTTTTGAAATTTTTACTGAAAATACTTCGATGATCCTTCTAGCGAATGGCAGAAGGCGAATTTCGATTTGTTGAATAATTTGTTTGTTATAAATAAATTCAGCATGTTCGAAGAGCTCGGCAAACATTGAAATTGGTGTCAAAAATTAGGAAATTCTCTAGGAGTTTATTTCAGAGTTCAATGCAGCCAATGCATTTTATTTCAATTTTTTTCGTTCGACTGTTTTCAACGTCATTAAATAACGGAGTTGATGCGCCGTAAGTCTCCCCCTATATCGGAGCTGTTCGTTTCCCGGATTTAGTCTTGAAATATGAAACAAGTGACGGTTTCATTGAAATTCCAGGGAATTTTATCATTGAAAATTAGTGGTTTTCGTGCAAAATTCATGGAAATTTTAAATTTTAGTTAAATTATTCCATGAAAATGCATGGAAATGAGGAAAATTCAAGCAAAAATGTCCTTGCATTTTCAATTTTTGAAATTTCAGAGCAATTTCTTATTGAATTATCATGTTTACATTGAAAATTCATGGAAATTTCGGTACCTTCCTGGTTCTTCCACTCAAAAATCAGGAATTGCCTTGAATTTTCAGGGAAACTTGAAGTTTCATAGACTTTTTTCCGTTAAATTGAATTCAGTGTCATTTTCTGGAAAATTCAGTTAAATTTTTTCAACAGTGTAGCGTTTATAAATAAAGAATTAATCATTCAAGACCGAAACTTGAGATTGAAAAATCAGAAAAAATTCATGCAAGTTCCCTATTGAGATTTATAACAAAATGAATGACCCTCTCAAAAATTACCTGGCATCCATCCAAAGTTGCGTCATATCGTAGTCGCTGATTACCCCGTGGCGTCAATTCGACGTCATTCCACGCGAGTAACTTCAGTCCACGCCTGTGTGTTTTGTGTTCCTCATCGTAATAGGCAACACTATTCTTACAATGATACGTCAAATTCTGCTCGGCATGCGTCGACAATAATTGGAGCATTCCGATTTGATTGCTATCCGCTTTATAACTTATCTTCATGCCATCCTCTATTTCGCTGAGCCAAATTCCGCCACCGAGATGACGGCCTAAGTGATTAATCTCTTCCGTCCTCGAAGGACTCGCGAAGATACATGTTGCACGTTTATTCACGTCGCAATGAACAACAATTGCATCGCGAACATCGCCTCCGTTGGGGTCGATCCAGTACTCGCCTAAATGTTGAGCGCATTCAGTTTTAATTTGTTAAAATCAGTTATTTACTCAAGAATACGACTGCTACCTGACGGTTTATCTGGATGTGAAATAAATAAATCTCTGCAAGTCCGAGCAGGAGAATTCTCATCGCCATCGGGCTCAATGGCATTCTGGACTATTGACTTGAAGTGCTCATAGGCTCTAGTGAGGAGCTTGTTTTGCTCATCTTTAGTCATCTCTTTGCCGAAAAGTCTCAAAGGCTCGTCTCCTACCATTGAATCAGGCCCTTTGGTCTGTCCCTGCACTTTAATATTTTGAAGTAATCATTATTCATTGCATGAGTGAACGCAGAAAAAATTTTGTAGAAAATTTATTAATTATTGAATATTTAATAAAAATAAATGCAATATAAAATTATGTAATGAAAATGAGTGAAAAAATTATTTTGGCCAATTCTGTTGAATATTGTCTATTGAGCGTATAAACCATATTCAATAGAATTCAATTTTTCTAGACAACTTCTACTGAGATATTTTCTATAGAATTTCCACAGTTCAAATTTTTCAATTTTTTTCCTTCACTTTTCTTTTCTTTTCCTCAAGAAAATTAAACAGAAAAACTTGGTAAATTTGAATCGAGTAAATTCCATAGAAAATACCTCAATAGAATAATTTGTATAAAAAAATTGAATGCTATTGAATATATTCTATTGAACATTTCGATAGAATCGGCCAAAAACTAATAGAAAGTTCAATAGAAATCCACTAGAATTGTTGAGCGAATTCGCTGGGTTTTTCTATGAAATTTTTTCGTGCTTGTGAAGGTGTTAAAAGTTAGAAAGACGGTGTCAAAAGACTAAATCGTTACTCATGAGGGCTGCTAAAGAAGCTGCATCATATCCGAAATTTCCTTCTCCCGGAGGACCCGGTGGTCCCACAGGCCCGGGAGGGCCAGGAGGTCCATGTCGTCCATCTTCACCAGCTACTCCGGGTGGACCGGGATTCCCAGCAAGCCCTATCGGGCCGGGATTCCCATCCCGGCCAGGCGGACCCCTCAACCCAGGGATACCATCTTTACCTGACACTCCGGGAAGCCCAATAATTCCTGAATATAACAAGCGGGAAATTGCTCTTTTCTTCACATCATACACTTACTTTTGCTAATAAATTAGCAAAGTGCCTTCGAATGGTCATTCTGCACATCATTTTCTTCTATAGTCTATAATTCGAAGTTTATTTTATTTTATCGGCTCTGCATCCCACAGGCTTGTCGCTCACGTCAGCCACGTTTAGGCCGTTGTTATCGATTATTATTATACAAAATCTATGCGCGCGCTGATCTATTCATTTGTTGAAATGAAGAAATGGAATTCATTGAATTTCATTTTCTCATGAATACCTTATAAATATTGATAATGAATCAAAGAGAATTCGACTAATGATTGAAGTGAATAGCGAAGTAGAGTAAAAGAACCTATAAAGAATTTTTCATTTTCAATTAATTATCTTCAATTTTTTTAAATAATCGGCCTCCATAAAAGGACAGAATTTATTAATTTCACCGATAATATATATACATGTGAAATATATATATTATATATATATATAAAAAAAAAAAATTCAAAATTTAAAAAAATCATTGAATGCATTAAATTTTCATTAATGTAGATAATTAATAATGGGGTCAATAATACCTACATTTGGGGAAAAAAGCGATTGAATTTGATCGAATCATTACCCAACGATTGAAGAAAATTTTGTGACACCTATACATGAACACATACGTGCGGACACGGTATAAAAATGGCATTTTCTCCCTTTTTGGATCATAATGGGTCGATATAACACAAAAAATCCGACACTTGAATTTGAACGATTACAAAACTTCCATTCGGAAGCAAAAAAATATATTTGTAATGTCTCAATTAACGAAGTTACTATTGATTTCCTGTTAACGAAGAAGATAAATTTTGCAGAATGAAATTTCTGCATGAAAGGCTTGAGAGAATATCGTACCTTTCTCCCCAACAGCACCCGGTATTCCAGGTAAACCTTGGAGTCCCATCAGCCCGCGGTGGCCCTTGGAACCTTTCTGACCCTCCAATCCTCGATCACCTTTGGGTCCCTCATTCCCAGGCAGACCTGGTCTTCCTTTCGGTCCCTGGTATGACAGTATTTCGTGTTTGCATACGGGGAAAAATTATTCCCGTAAAAATGTAAACGAATTGAGTAGATTAAGGATATCCAAGCAGTTTAAGCAATTTTTTCTAGGGGAAATCCCGAGTTTATAAAATAGACCAAGAGTAGTTTTTAGGCGCAATATCGACCTTACTTTCCGAACATTTTTTTGAGAAAGCGATTTTTGAAAAAATCGGAAATTCTTGAATATCGTTAAATATGGAACTATGGAATTACTTGTGGCCCATCCGCACCGCGAATACCAGCTTCTCCTTTGGACCCTCGATCGCCAGTGAGACCCATGGGACCCATTGGTCCAGTGGAACCCTAACAATCAATTGAAGTCTAAATTTATGTTGAGAGGATGAGCATCGAAATTTTTATGCGAATCTCCTGTGAAAAATTACGATACCGTCACTTAAGGATGCCAAGTGAATTTGAAAAAAGATTCAAAAAAAATTTTTTCTTTCCCTCCATCATTGGAGCAATATGTATTCATCCATCCGACGAAATTTCAAACCCGCAACCGGAACTAGACATCGAGAAAATAAATGCGGAAAATCCTCTATTTCGCGTNTCGCCATCACATTGAACACATCATTCCCCATATCTTCAAATTTTTTCAAATTTTTCTTGAGTTCCTAGGGGGTTGAAACGTTCAATTTAATCAAAACTCCATAAGAGGCCGTGTATAAGACTGATTTTGTTTATTTAATTTCTCGATATCCATAAGTTCTAAAATTTTAAAATTGTCACCGATGTTCACCATCTGTCTAATACTATTAATTAAAAAAATTATAACTTTGTTGGTGAATGTCAATTTTCAAGGTCATCGCCAAATTCACTTGGCACCCTTAAATTGTCTGAGTCGATTCCGAAATCGGTGAGTGAATTGTGAGTTCCGTAATTTTTACTGAACATTTCTCTCCGTGTGTAAAAATTTTCGTACCGGTTGTCCCGGGTTTCCCGGCTCTCCTTGGAAGCCAACCGAACCTGGAGGGCCTTTGTCACCAGGTCGACCACTCAAACCAGGCGGTCCCGTCTTTCCGATGGGTCCTTCGGGGCCGATTTCCCCTGGTATCCCCTGCGGTCCCTGTAATCCTGTGAGTCCGGGGGGACCAGATTTTCCTTCTACCCCAGGTCTCCCAGGTGCCCCCATCTCTCCCTAAAGAAACAAGTGGACAATTGCATTTTTTTATAAATGAGTATAGCTATTGTTCCCTATAAATCAGTATTTTACGAAAATATCAAAAAAACACGGACGAAATATTTAATAGAAAACCCTATGAAAATCGTTAGAAAATTCTATTGAATTTCTATTGAACTGTTCTATTAGTTTTTGGCCGATTCTATTGAAATGTTCAATAGAAAATATCCAGTAGAAAGTCAATAGAATTCAATCTTTCTATATAACTTATTCTATTGAGATAATTTCTATAGAATTTCCTCGGCTCAAATTTTCCAAGTTTTTTCGTTTGATTTTCTTGATGAGAAGAAAAGAAAAATAGAATGAAAAAAAATTTGAACTAAATCTATTTTTGCGACAAAAATTTTTCAGTCCGGCGCACTCTCTGCGTGTTTGGCACAAAAAAATCCTTTTTTGATAATTTTCAAAAAACTATTTTCTTGGCACAACTAAGACTTGTTAGAGAACTTTGGAGTTTTCGCTCAGTGTAGGCTTCAACCAAATCCATTTGTTAACAATAACTGGATGATCTGGATAACCAATTTTAGTCTGGGAGGCTCCGAAGACTGTCGGATACCGGCACCTCCGCGGTAGTCATCATAGAAACTAAATCCCACCATTTTTTCAAGAACCTAAATCGTGAACTTACCGGCAGGCCGCGCAGTCCTCTAGGCCCTGGCGCTCCGGATGGACCAGGCATCCCCGGCAATCCGCGCTCCCCGGCAATACCCTGTGTCCCCGGGAGTCCTGTCGCACCTGCAGGTCCCCGTGGGCCTCTCTTGCCACGTTTACCATCATTTCCGGGGGGACCTGGTTGTCCTCGCGGTCCGGGAGGCCCAAAGTCTCCTTTCATCCCAGTATCCCCTCTGAATCCTCTCTCACCGGGAATCCCCTTAATCCGTGCATGATTGATTTAGCTACTTGTGCAATATTAACTCATCGCACAATTCGCTATGACACAGTCATACATTAACGGTTTCTCTACTTCTATCTCAATACGGACGACAAAATTTAGTAGAAAAACCTATCGAATTCGTTAGAAAATTCTATTTAATTTCTATTGAACTGTTCAATAGAAAATGTTCAGTAGAGAAAATCAATATAATTCAATTTTTCTATATAACTTATTCTATTGAGATATTTTCTATAGAATTTCCTCGGCTCAAATTTTCCAAGTTTTTTCGTTTGATTTTCTTGAGGAGAAAAGAAAAATAGAATGAAAAAAACTTGGAAAATTTCAGTCGAGCAAATTCTATAGAAAATATATGAAAAGAATAAGTTATAGAAAAAAATCGAATTCTGTTGACTTTTCTATTGAACATGTCAATAGAATCAGCCAAAAACTAATAGAAAGTTCAATAGAAATTCAATAGAATTTCTCACGAATTCGTTAGAAAATTCTATTGAATTTCTATTGAACTATTAGTTTTTGGCCGATTCTATCGAAATGTTCAATAGAAAATATTCAGTAGAGAAAGTCAATATAATTCAATTTTTCTATATAACCTATTCTATTGAGATATTTTCTATAGAATTTCC